CCTTTCTCCATTTGAGACGAATATGGTGTTTGAGTTAACGATGCTGATAGACCAACATTTGAGTTTTCACTCAATTGTTTTTGAAGACCAGCTTGGATGCCTCTTTGTACTTGTTGATGCGAAATGACTGGATCTTTCGTAAAATTAAAATTTGTCGTTTGAGTTGCATGAATGCCAGCATAAACATCAACGGATGGTGTGAGCTGTGTATTCACACGAATGTCTTCATGAGTCATAACTTGAATGCCATGAGATGATCCCGCCTGAGGTACAGCACTTACATATGCATGCAAACTTGTTGATGGCGTAAGCTCTTTGTTAAAGTTAGCATTCATTTGAAGACTTCAAATGAGATAATCAATAATACCTAAGTAAGCAGTTCTTTGAATCAGAGAAATTGAGTATAGTTGCACTTTTTATACGGTCAACAGCAACGGAAGTATAATCGAGAAAAAACCCACAGGAAAAAGGAAGTAGTATCATCAGCTTCTGATAAGAAATACATGACGAAATAAGAATGTAAGAAAAAAAAGGTTTTCATCAGCTTGCATAATTGGAAAAACTTCGTGTACATGAATCACGATGTGTATGCATAAGAATGAGAAGAAAAACTCGTCTTTACCTTCGCTCAAATTTCATCGTCATCCGATCCCCTTGTTTCACTGTCGTTGATTATTTTCCTTTTACAAGTAATTATATACGTTTCTTTGAATTTATTCCGTTTTAGATAGTTCGACGAATGATATTTGTACCATTGTATGTCTTATCATGAAAGGAAATCCATCATTTGTCAATTATTTGGAAATAGTTCGGGTATGGGTGTGAATGTGGGTACAGAGAATGATAAAATCAACACCTACACCCACACCCATATAGATAGTTCTAATTTACAGAGAATAGTCGAGTTTTTTCAACTGTTGATCATTTGCCCGTAAAATTGTTTAATTAGTAAAAACTTTGAACAATAAAAAGCCCTACTTAAACTTTATATAAAAGAGTTTAATATTGGTATAGAAATGTGAGTTGTTATATCATCGATATTATCCTAACAAAAAATAATGATTTTGTCTATTATTAATAATAATGCAATTGAAATGATTAAATCGAGTATGTTGTTGTTCTAACCATTCTATAGTAATTGGTGGAGAATTTTTTTGTTGAATATGTACATGTAGACTATTCAATTGAAACATCTTACGTAAAATAAAATCGATAGCATTATTTCGTGAATGAACGCCTAATGATAAATATTGACATTTTGAAGAAAAAATCGGCAAGATTTTCTCAAGTTCATTTTTATTAAAACATTGCAATGGA